GAATTAAGCAAACATCACAACCATCACAAATGATATCAACTCTTTCTCAAATTCCCCTGCTGTCCTCTCCTTTCGTAGCAACGGAGAGAATGATGGAAGAGGTTTCATTACTGATGAAAGAACAGCTACGCAAGACAAGAAGAAAGCAACAAAGGATGACAACAAAGAGAGGACTTTTTCAAATCTGAATTGTAAAAGAAAAGAAGCCGAATGACATTGTAAGTTCCATTGCCAATCACTGGGTGTCATACTTTGGGAAGAAGTGAGAGGTGAAGTTGATGATAGAAGATCTAAAAAAAAGAGAAGGATGAAGAGAGAGAGGAAAAGAAAAAGGAAAGGGAAGGAAATCTGGAAAGGAATAAAGAGAAAAAAAGAATAGCATTTTGGACATTTTACCATCATTTCATATTTGTAATATAATATCGGGTCTCCTAAAGCTATTTTTTATATTGAGAAACTCATTTAGCAATTTTACATATTGAGAGTTTTTATTTGCCATTTTTTCTACTTAACACTTCATTCCTACTAAAAAATGAACGTTATATTACTGGAATTAAAATTTGAAATACCAAATTAGGTATACAAATACATTACATTAAAGATTGGGATAAAAATTATTTTGGCATTCAAGCAGGAGGGGGAAAAAAAGGGAAGTCAAGGTCGTTAAAAATTGCAAGTTAATATAAAATACTATCTCCTGTTTTTAATATAAGAACTAATTTAACTTTTAATTTAGTTTTAAATATAAGATCTCAATCTACTTTTTCTCTTATATTTATCTATATTTTTCAAGGTATTTCTTATAGTAGTTACATATGTTAAATATTTCATTAAATGATACTTGATTAGTAAAAACATTTTATGAAAGATAATATGACAAATAACTAATTGAATCAATTTTCTTAATTTACCTAAATTAATCAGCTAACTTTTAAAGACAAAAAATAGTAATATAAAAGAGGTAAACTCATATAATAGACTTAGGGGGTATTTGGAAAGCATCAAAAGTGCTTCTCAAAAACACTTTTTCGCAAATCGAGATAAACTCCTCTATATATTTACTTCGTATACCGTAAAAACACTTTTAAAATCATAGTTTTGATTCCTTTCAAACACCCCTTTAGTAAGCAAACTCACATAATAGACTTAGAAAGTAAACACCTGAGATTGTTTGAATCTTTTCTATACACGGTCAAACTTACAAGTACCGATTATTTTCAATTAAAAAATACCAATTACTTATTTGAAGAATAATACTCCTCCGATCCTAATTATAAGACCCAATTGACTTATTTGAGGAGATTAAGGAAGTAAGTTAAGTTGGTTATTTATAATAAATAAGTGTTGTTATTCCTAAAATATCCTTGCTAATTAAGTATATTGGCTAAAACTATCATTATTAGAAGGATTATCTTGGAAAAAAATGCATAAATATAAGAGAGAAAATGGATTGGGTCTTATAATTAGGACCAAATAAAAAGTCAAATTGGGTCTTATAATAAGGACCGGAGGAGTACTACATATTATGTCAGCCTATATTAATAAAAATTCCAAGTGAAGAGGTTTGGAGCTTTGAATGGCTTCCCACTAGGCTTAAATCAATCAGATGATTATCTGTTAATTTTTTTTTTTAATTTTTGAAGGACGTGGTTCAAATAATTGAATCATTTCGAATCCAAAGGTCAATCTATAAACAGACTTGCTTTTTGTGGAAGTATTGTAAATAACTAGTATGGTAGTACCTCTAGTCTTAATTATAAAAACTAGTTAACTAATTTGAAAAGATTAAAAAAGTAAATTGAGTTAGTTATTTGTTCTAAATAGGTGTTGTTTTTTTTAAAATATCATTACTAATCAAGTGTATTGGTTAGAATTACCGTTATTAAAAGGACTACTTTGAAAAAATAAACGTATAAATATGAGAGAAAAAATGGATTAGAGTCTTTTATTTAAGACCAAAATAAAATTCAAATAAAGTTTTATAAAGTCAAATAAAGTCTTATATTAAAAAACGGAGGTAGTAATAAAAAGATTTCTTTGACCAACGTATCTAACGAAACAAAAAAAAAATTTCGTGTTTTAGATTTGCTTTATTTGAATTACTCAGCTCAATTTGCTTCAAAGCTAGGCAGGTCAATTAATTTATGATTTTGTACAAGAGACCACCAATTTTAGTCGAGCTAGGATCGCCAACGAGTCTAAAGGAAACACAAAACTCACATAAACATGAAATTTAGATTGACTCTGCGAGTCAACTCAAAGAGTGCATATATAAAAAAAGAATTAAGATGGAAATTTATTCTGAAAATGTGTAATTAATAACACTAAGCATATGAAATTTTTTTAGGTTTAATATTATCTTGAAAATTTAAAATCATAATAATTTTATTCACTGTTATTAAAAAAATTTAACGTTGATAATTAATATAGGGATATTGATTATTAATATTTATAAAGATATAGAATAAAATTATCACGATTTAAAACTTCTATAATAATATTGAACTGAAAAAAAAAACTTCTGCATATTCAATGCCTGATTGAAAAATTTTAGGACAAGTTTGCTGCAAAAACTGATCCAAAACATTTCAACAAATTCAACTAACTTCTAAAGTGCAAACTCTAATCGAGTATCCATACTAGTGCTAATTAAGTCCAGATTCTGTTTACTCGAAAAGTCCAATTTGTCATCCTACTTTAAGTAAAAGGGAAAATTCCAAAAAAGTCCTTGGAATATAAGAAATTTCAGATTAGGTCCTGAAATTTCAGAAATAACAGAAACGGTCAGTGACCCAATGTGTCATTTGTAAAATTAAGAGGAATTGATAACTTTGCCCTCATTTGTATTTATTCACTACAATGATTCAAGGAATCACTATAATGGTTTAGGTGTTACCTAGATTCGTGTAGTGAATAACTACTCACTTTTTCATAGTCAGGTGTCTTGTTATTAACTACAACTAATTTTGTAATCACTAAAACAATGTAAGCATTACCTAGATTCGTGTAGAGAATAATTATTCACTTTTTCATAGTCAGGTACCTTATTATTAACTACAACTAATCTTATAATCACTAGAACAGTGTAAGCGTTACCTAGATTTGTTTAGAGAATAACTACTCACTTTTGCTTAGCCAGGGGCAAAATTGTCAATTCGTCTTAATTTCACAAATGACAGATTAGGTTAATGACCCTTTCTGTCATTTTTGAAATTCCAGGACCCAGTCTGAAATTTTCTATATTATAAGGGCTTTTCCTGGAGTTTTCCCTTAAGTAAAACTCTCAAGTTAATGTGATAATATCATCAGTATACCAATTCAATGAACTTGTTTATTTTTCTGGTTATAATCTTTAAAAGCTGTAAAATCAATTATGACAATATCTAATTAATATCAGTACACCTGTTCATTTTATCTAATTATTTTTTTGTTTATCTTTTTATTATATTTCATTTTGAAAATGATAAAAATAAAAACGGTTAAATATTATTATTCTCTTGGATTTTTTAATAAGACGCAAATAACAGAAATACTCAGATTAAAAAAAATAAAAAGAGAGAAAAATATGATCAATTAAAAAAAACACATTATATAAATATTCAGAAATTTCCTAAATAAGAGTTACGACTTACACGGGCGTATTGTAATAACATGGTCTAAAATTGAATGCGGATGAAGTTTAGAGTGGTCTTTAGATGAAAACTAAATCATGGTTTCAAAAATATTTTTATAATTTACGAAATAAATATATAGAGGAATTTACCTCGTTTTGCGAAAAAGTGCTTTTTAGAAGTATTTTTGAGAATTGCCAAACGCCCCTGAGATCTGGGAAGCGACCTCTTCCATCACTGTTCACTTAAACAAGTATTTATTTAATCCTATTTATAAGACATTTTTAACATGTTTTACACAGACTAATAAAAATTTTAAACTATATTAACTCTTCATTAAAATATAACAACTTTTCAACTTTATCCCTATTTAATACTCCTCCGGTCCTTAATATAGGACCCAATTCTTGAATTGGTTTTGGTCCTAAATATAAGACCAATTTATCATATTTATCAATTTTCTCTAAATTACCCCTATAGACATTCCCTCAACCATAATCAAATAGAAGATGGAGATGAGGTATTAAAAAAGATGATTATGGTGTTTTAGGAAAAATGTGTCACTTTTCTTATAATTAACTAACTTACCTAACTTCCTTAATCTAATCAAATTAGTTAAATGGGTCTTACATTAAGACCGGAGGAGTATATACTACCTCCGGTCCTTAACATAAGACCCCGTTTGATTTTTATGTCGGTCCTAATCATATTTACTCAATTTTTTCCAAGATAGTACTTCTAATAATTATAATTTTAACCAACATACTTGATTAGTAAGGATATTTTAGAAAAAGCAACACCTATTTATTACAAATAACTAATTTAACTTCTTTTCTTAATTTCCTCAAATTAGTCAACTAGTTCTTATAATTAGGACTGGAGGTAGTACATCTTTTAAAAAAAACTATCTATACTATAATTAATAAAAGACGATATAGTATATTCATGATAAAAATTTAATAAAACCACTTGTAAATAGGATAAAAAAATCTTCCCATTCTACCCTATAGATAGGACAGGGAGTAGGAAGTATAGAGTATTGTTTTTTTTGAGGAAGTGTAGAGTCAAAAGTCGCCTCTTGGCACCGGGAGAAAGTGGAGAACACGCGCTATACAAGCAGGTTGACAGTAGCATGTAATTCATCGCCCCGCCAGGAGCTCAAAAAGCTTCTACTTCCCTCCTCTCTTTCCGCGAAGCAGCACGTGTCAGCGCGTCATGCTGGGCTGGTCCCACATACCACGTGGCTCATTCTTACCGGTGGAACCAATTGCCACAGATCCCATCCCAGCCGTCAAAACATCCGATAGACCCCCGAACATTATTTCTGTCTGACTCGTGGAAGTTAAGAGAGAGAAAACGTATACAGAAAGAGAGGGAGGGGGGAGAGAGGAGAGAGGACAGAGGACAGAGGGGGTTCTACTGCCACACAGGTAAGCTAATTTTCCCCGGGAATTTTCACTGTAAATTATGATAATTTTGGGTTTTGTTTAGCTCTTTGCTGATATCATGAGCTGCTGTTTCAATGTTATTTTGGTCTCCTTCCATTTTCCCCCTCCTGTGCGCTTCGCACTGTATGTGTTAGTTATACTGCTGCATAGCCGTAAGTTGCGTTTATTCTTGTTCTTGTCCTTCGTTAAGGGTTTTAAATTTTAATTCATTGGTCGTTTTAACTTTTGCTTTTGATAACTTTTCCTCTCTCCGTTCATCTCTGCCTCAGCCGTGACTTCTGGGTTTTGTGTTGCTTTGCCGTGATAATTTTCATGGTTGACTTCGAAATTCGCCTACTAACTTGAAAATTGTGCTGGTTAAAGAATATGCGTTTTAGGTCGCTTACCACGTCATGACGTAGATAGGTTTCTTCTGCGGACTTTAAGTAGTTCTGTTCTGGAAGGATCAACTGTTTTGGATGGACGCTGAATACTGAGTAGCCTGTCCCTTTTAATACGTTCTGGGTTGTTTTGAACAGATAGTTTTTGCTCGCTCTCTTGATAATGAACCTTAAGGGCGTATGGGAATGGGGATTCCTCTTGGTTTCTTGCGGAATAATAATAGCGAAGGTAAAATCCGTATGTTTCATATATGTCTCTCTAATAAGCTTCCTAGGAATATTACGTCCCTTCTTAACCAGTTATTCCAGAATCTGGGCCGATCCGTTTCCAATTATTATGTGGTCTTAAATTCTCATACTTTTTTCATAAGCCAAAAAAAAAAAAATCTTTCTTACTTTTAACTTCGTTTCAGTATTTTTCAATACACTTTTAACATGCCAAACTACAAGATATATAAAAAATCCCCTTGCAAAAAACATCCTAAAAAGCTCAAAAGAATAGCTATTGCTGGAAAAGTCAGCCAAAGGTAAAGCAATTCGATATTGGTATTGTGACTGCATATTGGGAACTCAGCCGGAGCAATTGTCTTAGTGAACTAAGCCTTCGTACGGAAGTAGCTTGGATGTTTTATGAGGCACTTGTGATTTTTTCTTTCTTTGTATGAAGCTGGTTGCAATTCAGGATCCTTTATAAAATTCTTTATAGTTGCAAAGGTTCTAACTTCAAATTGTAAATATCTTGTACTTGCTTACGGTTCTGCTTTCCCTTTGGTCAAAGCAAAATGAACCTTAAAAGAAAAGAAATGCAGATGCCTTGTCTAAATGAGTACTTGGATTTGTTAAGGATGCTGGCCTCTATGATGCACTGTTAAATCATTCGATTTGTTCAGGAGTATATCAATCAATTCCAATTCATAAAATTTTTGTGATTCTGTCTGAGCAACTTTGTTTGTGGTACCATATCCTTTAACTAGTTTCAACTTGACATGTTTTCTATAATTGCTTACTTTAACTATTGATTTCCTTGTTTCTTGGTAAAACCATGAGTGCCAGTAAGTTGTTTTAGTTTATATACAAACTTTCTTTCTTTTTTGTCCCTTTAAAACTGCAACATGTTTAAGTAATATAGTGCATCCTTTGTAGAGTAATGCTTAATTATTGAATATAATCTTCTTTTATTCACTTAATGCGGGAATAGATAGTCCCCTAGGTCTCTTTATCTTTCATTTATTGGAGCTTATTTGAAAGTTTCTTTAATTGATTCAGAAAATTATTAGTTTGCTATTTTCTTTCCATGCTTTGTCTTGTTTTTGTTATGTTACCTTTAATAGGAGTAGATCTATCTGTGATTTTGATGACCATATTTACTTCAGTTACACATCAATATATGCTCACAACATCTTTTAATGCTGATTCAAAAATTTGGCTTTCGTTTGATGTGACGATTTCTTCATGCATAATTTCTTTCTACATAGTATATGATTTTTTTTTTTTGTAGTCTACTTATTGTGCTGCAGCCTCTGCTGCTAGAATTGTCTACGGGGGTCTTGTTTCCCCACTGATGTGCCCAAGGCAAGGTTGTGTTACCCGTCATAAACATAGAACTAATGCCATCCCTAAAAATGAAGAGCAAAGTGAGCACAATCTGTTTAACAGAAAGAAAGGATCTTCATGTCTCTCCAAAATCAAATGTGATTTCCAAAAAGTCGTGCTCTAAGATCACAATTTCTGCTCAAGTGGCTGAAACAGACACTGCCTTTCATGATTGCCAGGATGGTAAGCAGCCTAACTTGTGAAAGGATTTCTTTCAGTCGCTTTTAGAGATTAGTGCTTCTGCATCAGCTTATTCCCTTTTCATTTTGCTTTTAAGTTTGATATGCAAATTCACTTGAAAGTTTGTGATGATTTTAGATTTTTCATTACTGTAAACAATCGGTGGCTTTTGTAGTTTATGCTTTGTGAAAAATCAAGAATAACTGATGCTCCAACTGATAAAAAGTCATAGAATCTGCATTGCTGATTTACCTTGCTGATGCTCTTTATCTCCAATAAACTAAAACAGAAGAATAATGTATCATAAAAACATCTATGGATTTGTGATTCATGTATTGTTCAGATGACAATGACCACAAATAAAAAAAATATTGAATAAAAAAACTAGAGCAATGTAGGATTGTTCTGATAGCAGAGAACAAAGATTTTAAACCTTATTGGTACCATGTAGAAATTTAGGGTTGGAGCAAGTACATTTAACAGAACTTGGGGGTTGAAGTTGGCCCCAAAAAAAAAAAAAAAGAACTTGGGGGTTGAAGAAAAAAAATCTTGTGTGCTTCAGCACTTTGTACCTTACTTTATTTATATTATGATGATAGAGGTTCACTATTCGAGAAAATAATAAATTCCAAGGCTCCTTGATTATAACTTATTTTTCCTATTACTTTGTAACACTTATCTCAGTATGTGATAGGTCTCAACAATAGTCAACTATGTTTTAAAGTGGACTTTTAGAAATCCATATCATTTGCAGTTGATTTCCTGCTTGACATAATTTATTTGTGTTGCATGCTGGTGTTACTTTCTGTACATGTCATGATCTGCCTTATTCTGAAGCATTGTATTAAAAATTTATAGCGCAATTCCTATAGATTCTTACCATTGACAGTTTTTGTTCTTTTAGTTACCTTAAAGACACAGGTGTCCCCAAAAGACATTGAAGGCACTGTATCCGTTGACAACAAGGAGCATATGCATAAAGAAGATTCTGACATCCACCAGCAATCATTTTCTGCTGGTTCCCCTCCTCTGGGAAGAATGGTAGAGTTTGTATTGACTCTAGATAACATTTGTCTGTTGCGAGTTTTTTTTTTTCCTCCCTTTTTTGTTATTGATACCTTCATACTAGTTACTGTTGTGCTCATGGTAATTTAAATCTGCCATATATAAGGGTGTCTCTACTTTATGGTGACCCTTGATAAACATTGTGCTGAAGTTAGTGCATCTAGATAAACATTGTTTTGGGGGATTCCGGTATGAAAATTTTCTAAAATAAATCAAAGATTTTAGTGTTTCTTACACTATATTTCTACACATCATTACTGTTTACTAAATCTGTACTTTACTGGTGTTTTTGGGAGGCAGATGGATCTTGTGATGCTTTATTTTTTGTGTTCATTCTCTCCTTTTCCTGCCTTGGTTTTTGCTATTAAAGTCTGTTATATCCTGTGATAAGATGCCACTTTGAGACGCACTTCTGTATTTATGGTGACGATATCTGATGGTTATGTTTTATGTGGTCAGCTTGGCTACTCTGCTGACATCTGTGTTGGCTTTTTAATTTTCGGTTAAAGTGCAATTTTAACAACGAAGTTTACACTAAGGGACACTGGGCACCATAATATTCATTTAGGTGCAAAAATATACATGAAGTTGTCAAAAGGGGACATTTAGCACCAAGCCGTTAACGTTCGTTAGTTTACCATCAAAGGGGCCCACGAAATCAGTTTTAATGTGTATTTTTAACAATAAAGTTTACATCAAGGGGCATTAGGTACCATGAAGTTTACTTGGGTGCAAAAATATACATGAACTTTCTAAGAGGAAAAAAATAACAAAATTCTTCAACTCCCATAAGCATCCATTAATTTTATTCTTTTGGATCCCACCAAATGTTATATTTTCTCTCCATCAATTTCTACTTCTAAGTCGATCCATCTTTCTCTCATCATAGTTAACATGCACACTCTCTTTTTTATGTTGTTTTTTCTGTCTTCAAGCCTTTTATATGTATTTACACAAAACAAAGCCTTTCTTTTTAGGATATGAGGTTCATTACTTACACCTAGGTACTACCTCTAGTCCTTAATATAGGATACAATAGACTAATTTGAGGAAATTAAAAAAATTAAATAAATTACTTTAAAGTATTATATTTATCGTTTTTCTCCAAATTAATTTGCTTGGCTTATAAACTATTTTTGCAATTGTTTTACTTATTTAATTTTTTTTTTTAATTTGTCCATTATACTAAGGAGAAGAGGAAGTAGGAATGAGTAGAGAGAAAAAGTGATATTTAGTGGAACCCAATAAAATAAAATTAATGGATGTTTATGGGAGTTGGAGAATTTTGTTTTTGTTTTTCCTTTTAGAAAGGTCATATATATTTTTGCACCTAAATAAACTTTATGGTACCTAATACCCTTTGATGTAAACTTTGATGTTAAAAATGCATCTTAAAACTAACTTCGTGGGCCCTGCTAACAGTAAATTAACGGACATTAACGGTGTGGTGCCAGATGCCCCCTTTTGATAACTTGATGTATATTTTTGCACCTAAATAAACTTTATGTTGTCCAGTGCCCTTTAGGGTAAACTTTGTTGTTAAAATGGCACCTTAACCCTTTAATTTTTTGCCAACTCAGTGTTGGGTTTGTACCAGCAACATTCTCTGGTAAAATAAAGTTTTGCAATGAATATGTTTTGTCTCTCATTCTGATTTTTGGTATGAATGCGCATTAATTTTAATTCTTAATAGTATCTCTCAATGCATGATTTCCTACTTTTATGGATAAGATGCCTCACCATATTTTAACACGGGGTTATTAGGAAACTGTTGCATATGTGTTTTATTGTTTCAGATGCCGTGCTGGCAGTCATGCTGGTGCTGCGTAGACTCTTAAGGATTAGGATTAAATGCTTTTTAGTGGATTACTGACAGAATTCTTCGTCTTTTCCCAGGAATCAAATGACTTATGTACAGCAAACTTGGAAACGATTTTTTCTCCTGCTTTTGAGCCCATTGAGGCTCACTCTGAGCGCTATGCTGACAGTGATGCAGGTATAACTGATGTTACTGTACACAGAACACAAAATTTCCCGTCCTAGACTCAATGCACCAGGAGTGAACTGCTCTTATGCTTTTCTACACAAAGTCCTAAAGAGCTTGATTGATGATAAGCTTTATTACTCAGCAGAGATAATTGTTTCAAAAAATATCCGTGATTATCTTCACTTGTCTTTCTACATATTTTTAAGCTCTGCAAGAGTTAAATTCTTTCATTTGATGGTGGCTTTGTGAGGCTTTTTTTTTTTTTTTTTGCCTATATATATATATATTTTCAGCTGGAAGAGAATACTTTCATATTTTGTGATTTTTCATTTATAAAAAATTGAATAAATTATGAAGACGCATATTTGGCACTTTCACTCTTCTGCTTATTTCCGCTGAATAGCATCTTTGTCATATAGGATCCATCCCATAAAAATGTATTTCTTGTGGAGATATATCTGTAGCCATGTCCTGCATCACATATTGCTAGTTGCTTGCGTTCTTTCTCATTTACTGTTATGAATTAGGACTATTTTTCGTGAGATTTAAGTTTGTCTTAGTGGCAGGGCCCTGTCTTGTTTTTTTTACTACTAGGAAGTGGGATCAATGATCAAGAGGTGTAACTTTTGCTGCTTTTCCATGTACCACACTTATTCTGCTTATTTACTTTAAGGAGAATGTATATAGACCATATTTAATAAGCATGGGACTCGTGGCAAATTAAACTTTCTTCAACTACTGTGAAACATTTGAAAGCCATAGTCCCCGAAAATCTGGGCATTGATCTGTATGAAATGTAGATCATAAATCAGTAAACCATGTGAATGGTTGACAAAGTTCAGAGAGTGGATAATCAATTAACTATGTATTGATTTAATTAACCACTTCCCAGTTAGTTATTCCCAATTTAGAAATATTTATACGTCAAATTTTTAAGTTGTAGCTCTCTTATTTTTTTCTTTGGCAAAGCCTACTTTTTTTAGCTACGTGTTAACTTATTACATGCTTAATATGGAGTCTTTTTTATTATTTTTTAACTGTCTGAGTGTTTTTATTCATTGCCTGAAAACTCCCATTCTCTAGTTGAGAGCATTACTTATGGTGACATGAGAGGACTAGAAGCTGATGAGGATGAAGATGGAAGAATCAGATGTGGCTATGAAACATGTGATGTGTCTGACTTCTACATTTCTGACATGATCATGACAAGCTTACCCATGGATGGAGATGCTTTTGCTGGTGATACCAGCTGCATATCTGATTATAAATCTGCAGAATCAACCATGTTTGATGCAGCTGACCGGTACATGGTCCTCCCTGCTCTAGAAGATGATGCTAAAATTGAGAGTACTTCCAATATCACATCATGTGAAGAAGCCATAATGGTTCAAGAAAATGTTAGCCTCTATTCAGCAATAGGGCAGATAAGATCCTGCAACCAGGGTTCTGATCTTATAATTGACTCTGATAAGGCTGAATGCTTTGATCCACAGTCATTTATCAAGAATCTACCAGAACTCTCTGACATAGAATCGGATAATCAACATGCTGTAACATCAAAGGCATCTCAGAGAAGAAAATCAGTAACTCTTGTGCTTGATCTAGATGGTAAGAAACTGTGTATGTTTCTTGTGATTATTGATAATATTATACTTTTTAAATATAGAGTTCATCTGAGTTTGACATCAATGAGGGTTGGAAAAGTAAAAGAATCATCATCATCAATGCTCCCCTATGGTCCAGGGAGCTGCTTAGGAGAGAAGAAAAATAAAATAAAATCTGGCCACAATTAGGGAGATTTGGTCAGTATTAAAGAGAGAATCAAGTGTGTGTTGGTTTAACAAAGAATATTTATCATTGATGCATCCTTCGAGTGATTTTGGCAAGTCATCATGGGAGAAAATTTTGGGAATGTGCATACTTCTTCAAATCTTCTGATATAAGAAAAGGTGCCGGCTGATGCAGAAAGTACACTTCTGCCTAATATATTTTTTTACTCTTCCTCTCCTCAGTTTTATCCTCTCTACTGCCATTATACATTTTTCAACAATGAGTAAAGATACAAGGAAAGTGCATATGGCCGCTATTGGTTTTCTTGTGCATACGAAATTTAAAGTCACAAGACAACTGAGTTAGGTGATAGTTCAGCATAGTTTTTTTTTTTTTTTGGGGGGGGGGGGCTTCAGATAGCTCAGCATATGCATTTAAATCAGCCAGTTGGCTGGGCTCACTATTTTTTCCCCCCGGTAAACCCTATAAAAATGTGCATGGATGTATATTGGACTGAGAGTTCAGTCTGGTAATTGAAGTGGCTTTTTAGATGATCTCTCTGAGGTTAACATTCATTTGTCACACTCCAATTCTTTCTCTCTTTCTTGATAATCATTTTTCTTTCTATGAAATATTTACATTGGTAGCACCTATTCACCCTAGCCATCATACTTTTATATATGCAGAGACTCTTGTTCATTCTACATTAGAACATTGTGATAATGCGGATTTCACCTTTACCGTCTTCTTCAATATGAAAGATTACACAGTATATGTAAGGAAGAGGCCATACCTCCACACATTCTTGGAGAGGGTAGCAGAGATGTTTGAAGTAGTTATTTTTACTGCCAGTCAAAGCATTTATGCAAAACAACTGCTTGACGTATTGGATCCTGATGGGAAACTTATTTCTCACCGGGTATACCGTGAGTCTTGCATTTTTTCAGATGGTAATTACACCAAGGATCTGACAATTTTAGGTGTTGATCTCGCAAAAGTTGCCATAATTGATAATTCCCCTCAGGTACAGACAGAACCTCCTCCTCTATTTTGATGGTTTGCTTAACCGTCTTTCTTTTATTAGTTTTGTTCTATACTTCTAAGTGCTTTAATTTCTGATAAAGTCATTGAATTTTATCCATTGTATTTTCTTTCTTTCTTTTTTCCCTTTTTGAATACTTCGTGCTCTTTTAAGAGTTGATAAATTTTTTCAAAGCTTGGGCCATGTCAATCATTTTGTTAAGTGACTAAGGATATGCTTGCTGGGGGGTGTTCAATTGATTAAAATGGAACAAAAAACTCATGGCTGAGTTACATCAAATCTATTATGACCTTCACTGATTTGTTTCTTTTTTGTGCCAATGTTGCATGCGCTTAATCGATTCTAAAATTTCATGCTTAGCTCAAACTAGCATGAGAGATTTATCGTGAGTAATCCATAAGTAAGCCTAGATGAGAACTAGCATTTAACTTGGCCTAAAGACTAATAGAACCAAAAACATGTATGTGATTCCTTCGATTTAGTCAATCATAACATTTTAACCCTGAATGTCATTGTCTAGCCTAGGAGTAGGAAGTGGAGAAATTATATTTCTGGTTATTAATTATTGCTCTCCTGTCATAAACTACAGGTTTTCCGCTTGCAAGTGAATAATGGAATTCCTATAAAGAGTTGGTTTGATGATCCATCTGATTGTGCACTGATGTCATTACTTCCCTTTCTAGAGACACTGGCTGATGCAGATGATGTCCGTCCAATTATTGCGGAGAAATTTGGTAACAAAGAATAAGGTTTCTCACTAGAGCACAATTTGCGGCTTCTCCTTTTTCTAATAATATTTCAATGAAAATTTGTCCTCTAATTAGAATATAAGGTATCCTTCTGCTTTAGCTCTTGAGGTGAATTAACTATATAATAAACTATCAGTTATCTTATTGTTGAGTCCAAGTATGGTTCCGTTTTCCTCTCAGTTGACGGCTCCATGGAGTGCTTTGTTTCTCTTACGAGGTAGTCGCAGCATCTGTCTCTCATTTCTCTCTTAATCCCTAGTTCTTGTACAGTTGAAGTGTTTATTATTCTCTGAGGGTGTACATGAAACATTTTTAGATTAAGGAGTATATAGCTGGTAAAATTACATAGTTTCATTTATGATTTCATGAGATAGGCCTATTAAATTTCATGAATGCTGGCTAGAAACGGAAATATATAATTGATTTCTGTCTTTGGATCATTGTTGCTAGTAAACTGCTTCAGTTTTCCGTTTTTTTCCCCCCTGTACATGCGCTGCTAGGATTGTGGTTAAAACACTGTCTTGTGGATTTTAGGTGGCATGTGAAGCAAAGCAAGGCTGGAATTTAGTTCATAAAAACTTCCAGGACATGTTGCTCCTGGACTAAAAGACGCTTAGCAAAATCAAAGAGCCCAGAATAAGCTGAAGTCTGAAATTTTAATTACTAGAATTGACAAATTGCGTAGTAATTATTGAAAGGAGGCTCTGCATTAGTCTATTAGATGATAATTAGTCATCATGTGTCTGCTAAAACAGTGCACAGAAATTTATGGACATTGATATGAAACTTCGATATGCTTGTGAGAGTAAGTGAATGACAAATAATATAATAGTGAGACTAATTATGATGAGAATAATATCAAATAACTGAAGTTTAAGTTACATTTGTAAAAAAATTGATGGTAAATGCTATCATATTAGCTGCAAAACATTCGTTCTACCCAAATGTGTCCACCAAAGTGTGTTTACATTACAAAGTATATAGCTTATCTTCCTTGTGCTAACTATGCAAGAAAGATTTAGCTTCAAACTATCATCTACATTCCAATATAGTATGAGAAATGTGAACGACTTGTTATCAAAGAACATCTGTGTTCTCCTTCTTAACTTTCCTATGAATATGGTTATTTACAATACATGTTCAAGCTGTGGTCTCTGTTTGTTTGGAATTTGAGTCCTCTCTGGAGTTAGTCCCGTAGATGTCTCTGTTCTTACATTCAGCATGCCACTGGTGACTGGTGAGAGTTTTGCAATCATACAAATTATTCAAGAATGATGCGGAATTAATGATTTACAAAGCGAGCATTAGTATTTACATGAGAGGACGTGTTACAACTGTAAAATCCACTCCCAAGCTTTCATATCACATGCTTTCTTGAAAATCCAGAGCTTCAGAACCAAATTCAGTTGTTGAATGGTTATTTTGATCATCAGAAAATATATTAGATATACCTAGAAAAGTAGTACCAGTATGGATATGTTTATTGGATGTGACGCGATTGGATATGATAGATATAATAATCTTTAAAATTTGAAGATATAGGTACGAGAAATATTATTCAACAATGTAACACATGAAATACTAAGCAACATCATAGAAAATTGAGTTCCGGACAAGCATTTCAGATCTAAAATAAATGTGTCCAAAACAAGATGCTAATGAAAAACAAAACAAATGAAATTATAGGCTTCAATTCAACTTAAATAAGGTTCATTTCCATTTACATCATTAAGGTTCTTTGTAAGCTCTTGTGCAGTTTTAGAGCATTTCAAAATTGTCCAATGCATTTTGATAACGTCCTAAAACATATCCCACAAGAAAGACTGTGATATAGGTGTTAAAAGTATGTTGTGTGTATTGGGGAATGTGGCATACGTGTCATATTAGAGACATACCCGACATTGGTTCATCTTTTCTGGAATACCATTGTATCAACAAAATGTGTTTACTTGATATAGTTGGTAATTAGACATAAAGCTGGACAACAACTTGTTTACTTGCTATAATGATTTTCTGAATCGACTTCCAAGAAGCATTAACTTACCAAAGCAAAATGATTCTAGGAAAGAGTACATTTTGAGAAAGGTTGCAACATATAGTTGAGAGGAATGATTGATAAACCTTCGTGGGAGAGTGGTTATAATATCTGTCATCGTTTTTTGTAGATGGGATGACATGTTCAAATGGTAGAGGTTTATATTTTGAAGGATATATATTCGCCATTTAGTAGTCACGCATGATTATGCTCTCTACAATGTCAATAATTTCTGTAAGAATCAGACGGGATATTTCTTATCATGACATGTGGTGAATGTAGTGACATGAAATTTATAATTTCTTTATGTGCTAAGATTTGAGTTCATCAACTAATAAGGTCAGTCATGCATCCAAGAGGCCTTTCCTTTTCACTTTGGTCAGGGAATGCGTCCTATGTCAGCTAGCAGAATGGCACGCGAGTCATTGCTGAAGTTTGGCTTGGTGAAATAATGCCAGTCTCCTATTCTGTATTGATATCCAAGGAAACTGTGACAGCATTTATGAGATGTTTTGTATCATTCTTACACCGGTTTTCTTCTTCTTCTATGGGTTATTTGAACTTTGTTAATTAGCTTTGTTTATGTTTCCATAATTCTAAGAATGCTATCTAACACTGCAATACTGGCATAAAAACATGTGAAAAATGAAAAAGGTCATCTTGAAATTTACATCTGTAAAGCTCAAACATGCCGCTGAATGTCAAATAGATCAACGGCTTGTTAACTAGGGCTATCTTGTCTGCTTTTTCCCCTGATACATGCCTGCGACTGGGGTTTATATGAATCAAGACCTTAATGTAAGAGGGCAAAAGGATGGTTCATATAGGTAGAAATAATGTTCTCATAAATATCTTAAAATATTATACATTTGGCTGTGCTGATATGCTAAAGTGGCCCGTAGTGACCTTAATAGTCCTTGAAGATAGTGATTAGGTGACAGCAATTTATATTATTCATCAGGACAGCCATTTGGTGGTGTCTATAAGAGATATCAAAATTTGAGTGAATTTCCTGGTTAGAAACAGGTTTGGTTCAATGGTTTGAAATTGATTAAATCTATTCTCATATGTGCTGTAAGGGTTGGGCTGACCGTTGGAGGTTGAGGTAAAACACAATTACCCTGAGAAAGCATAGGCCTCAGAATTTTTCCAAAAGATGATATCCCCTTCATCAGAATCTCTACATCTCTTGTTTTTTGTTTTTGGGTGAATCAGGAGGATTAAATTAACACGCAAGAAGTAAATTGACTGGTAAGTAGCTAATTAGCTGTGCTTCAACACTATATGCTCTAGCCATGTAGTGTCTTGATGATGCAGTTCCTTCTGGGATGCGACTGAGAAATGCGGCTGCGAAAGTTGAGTAGGGGATCATTTAAACTACTCAAGCTCTCTTTTTTCTTTAGATTCAGTATCTGACTATCACTTCTTTGATGATGTCTGCTATTGGCAATCCGCATGTACTTTCATAATTTTGCATCCATTCTCTGCAGGTCTCTGAAGGAAAATTAATATAATATTAACCTTAATGGCAATCTTTTAGGTAAGTAAATTTTGTTCACATCTTACTGGTTAGAAGCTTCGTAGGTATAGGCCTTATTTGTCTTCGGGGAGATTTTAAGTGCAATTTATTAGTACTGATATTTTTTCAGTTCAGTGTTGTATGATTGATGTGTTTGGAGGTTTGTTAATATTTGAAAGTTTTATTAGAGAATCTAAACAAACATGTAAGAAAATTTTCCGGAGTTTTCTCCTTTTCATTGCCCAGGTGGCGGGGGAGCCTTTGTAAATTAGAATCTGAAATGTTGGTGGGAGAGCCTTGTAAAGATAGAATCTAAAACGTTAGATTTTTTCATCTTATGGTCCTCCCTTTTTCTTTATTGTTTGTTCAGCGATATATTATTTTATTTGTCTGCTATGGATCTTCTAGGTTCATGAATTGTGTGATGCCTATATTTCATTTTTCCAACTGTCTTTTTTTCGTCTTTATCTGTCTTGATGTTCCATATTAGTCCCTTCTGTCAATGTAAATGATTCAGATTGTCCAACGGTGGAGTTTTGATGATTACAAATGATTTCACAGCTTCCTTTATTTATGTAAAAAGCACACAAGTAGATTCCAAGGTTTAATGATAAAGCTCTAGCCATCCTTGACTAGATATATTTAATATAACACTGATGAATAAAATACAGCAACACAATATTTTTAACAAACAAGATTCCAGAAGATTTTTTTTTTTTTTTCAGATATGACTTTCAAAAGCAACTTTTTGGGATGACATAACCGCTGGCAGTTCCGGCAGCATTTCTACACAATGAGGTCTCTAATCCATGAGCATAAGTGAGCTTTATGTCTCGCAGTGTGATTCCTTCACATGGAGTGCTTGCGCTGCAATCCAAGTTGATTGCCATTTTACTCCTTGATGTCCCCTTTATATCTTCGTACCTCACGCTGCTTATCTTCACTCCTGAATTCTGTTGTTGCAATTATTTCCCAGTTAAATGAAAATTCAGAATCTTTTGTAATGGCTTTGTACCCTGGAGAGTTACGAAGAGTAGTTGCATCCATGGATGGGTTATCGAAAGCACAGAAGATGTCGAGAAAATAGGATCATTTGTGGCCAAAAGCATTTTTTACACGTTAAACCCAAGAAATGCCAAGAAAAACTAAAGATTCAGGTACAGATGTGGGAAGCATTGTTGTCGAGCTCTTTCCTAGGACTTACCAAAAAAAAGTATTCAAGTTGGCCAAAATTTGATGACATCTACGATTGGAACGTTATTAAAACGTTAAGCATGTGCATTCACTGTTCATGTAAATCAAATATAAGCCTAACAATAAATACGAAATGGTTTTTTAAATCCCCTTTTGTTGAGAAGAAGAAGAAGAAGAAAGGTTGACCTGATGATGATGGCAAGAAGGGGCTCCAGGGCAGTATCTCTGATCAATAATGATGGGATTGAAGACATTGTGCATGATGAGGTTTCTAAAAACTATGTCTCTTGTGAATCCATTGCTTGGTTGTGCCCTTGACTTTATTCTAACCCCATTATCTGTTTTTGTGAATGTAGAACTCGTCACTGTCACGTTCTCAACCCCTTCCTCCTTCTCATAGTTCCCCAAACTCCCTATGCTGTCACAGACACACAAATGATCCATAAAACTCATTCATGCTCAACGCCCCTTTAAGATGAGAAAGAAGATCGTATTTTACATCACTTTAACAAGTATGAAGATGCCAAGTGACTCGATGCTTGTTTTTCTTAAGCAAAGTTGAGATGAAGTCTCTAAGTATAGAAAAATAAAAAAAGAAAACTATCATTGAGGATCTTACATGCATGTGATATGACTCAACTCTACAACTAGTAATAATGTGTTTGGATTGGTGTTTTGTCAACTCGTATGCACGCTAGTTTTGTCAGCTTGCATCACCTAGGTCGTAGGTTGTGACAAGTTAACCTTTATTCTTAATTCAACTCAATTCAATTTGAATTAGTTAGAATCTTATATGACTTTGGGTGATCGATTAATGTATTCCAAATAAATAGATTGTGATTATACCTAATGCCATGACCAGGGCCACAAGCAATGTGGTCAATCCAGAGATGGGTAGAGCCCTGGTTGATGGAAATACAATCATCCCCTGTTTCGATAATGGCATCGCTGATGGTGACTCCTGTTGAAAACTGAACGTTGATTCCATCAGTGTTGGGGCTTCTGCTTGGTGCTCTTATATTTACCTTCTCTATTTTTACATTCTCGCAGTGATCAATGGCCATGTGCATTGTTTGGCTATTCAATGAACTTATTCCACTCACCACCACATTTCTCGCCCAACTAAACGATATTGACTGCATTTTTGTCACAAACATGCATATCATCGATTGACTATGACAATACAAACTTTTTTTTTTTTTTGGCTGGCAACAACACAAGTTAATTATATATCAGTTGTTACAAATATAAGCTCGGGTGCCTACACCATATATGTACTTGCATGCAATGTTAGTAGGCTTACCCTTGCTCCGGTAGGACAATTGTTCTGAGCTTTTCTGCAAGCCCAGTAAGAAGAGCCTCTTGCATCGAGAGCGCCTTCTCCATAGACAGAAACACCATCAAGCTTTCTGAACAATATCCAATACCCAGAATTCCCTAATGACCAATAATCACTTGGAGCAACAATAGTCCCGTCAATTCTCAACTTGACCTTCTTCTTGCATGGACCATGGAACGTCACTTGTTTCACCAGAAACCTCCCCTGTGGCACGTAAATTGTTGCTTCCTCTGCTGATTCGCATGCCGATGACCATGCCTTTAGAAACGGACTCGTGGAGTCCGACTTGCCGTCCGATTTGGCCCCGAAGCTCTCTACATTGATATATGAAGAAGATGAGCTTTGAAAGAGGAAGAGGAGGAGGAAGAAGAAGAAGATAAAGTGGTTTGGGTTAGTAGTTATGGCCATTATTGTGAAAAGGTTGAGTAGGAAAAGCGATGGAAATTAATTTCATTTGCTTTGGAACTTGCGAGTGGCTTGGGGAGACAAGTTTTTGGGGCGTATTTATTGGCTATCACATGGTTTTATGTTCAAAAGAAGTTAATTATATGTGAAGTTAATGAGTAAGTTGCTTAATTCTCTTGTATATTGTCTAGTCTTTCAGGGTTGTAATTCATATGCATGCATGCTGCCTTTGCCGCTTTCTCAGGACATTGTCTTTTATGCATCGTTCTGTGATTTATTTTTAGAGTGAAGTCTACGAAATCTCATTATTTTTTTTTTGGTCAAAATCAAGATTGGGTAAATTTTCATAGAAATAAAACGTAAAGTTCATTTTTAAAAAAATTATATAATTGTACAATTTTCCCTTTGGTTTTTTTAGAAAAATATATTTTGAAAATAATTTCTATGATTTCTATAAAATCTAACATATATTTATATAATTTTGAGAGATTTGTATTGATCTTGAAAATAGAAGAGCAATATGTTAGATTTGGCAAATTCGGAGGTTAAATTATAGTTGAGTTTAATTAAAAAGGAAAGCCTTAACAACAATAACTTATATTCGTCGGAAGATGAATCTACTCAAATCTTTTATGCTATTGAAGAATCAAATGTTTCCGTTGTTGTGGTGTTCTCTAATTGATATGCTAACCAAAACATGAAAGCATTTATGGCAACATGGGATTTAAACTTAACTATCTTGAAAATCATTTAATTTAGACATTAATAATATACTAATAATGACATATACTAAATTGTCGATGAATCCAAAGGTGACACAGAAATGTCCCCTCACCTGGTTGCTGATTTTTTTTTTTTTAAAGTTAGTATGTAATCATACGAGTAAAAAATATTACCTCCGGTACTAATTATAAGAGCTAATTGACTAGTTTGAGGAGATTAAAGAAATAAGTTAAGTTAGTTATTTGTAATAAATAAGTATTGTCTTTCTTAAAATATCTTTACCAATCAAATACATTGGTTAGAGCTACTATTGTTAGAAAGATTACCTTGGAAAAAAATGCATAAATATAAGAGACAAAGTAGATTGTGGTATTATATTTAGAGCCAAAATAAAAGTGAAACAAGGTTTTATATTAAAGACCGGAGGTAGTATGTTACAAAAAGATATGTTACATACATATATATGGCATAAAATTTATATAGACAAATGAGCTAATCTTTCCCTAATATCTACCTCCGAATAGTCTAATATTAGATCGATCCGTACTACTTTTTTGACCTTGGCTCCGTAGTGCTGAAGCATATGAATTTACGTGAACAAAGCACATCATTTAATTAATTTCTGTTTAATTACGTGACGTTATCAATTACTACTACAAAAAATTCACTGTTACTAATTATTTAATCAATACTTAGCATCCACGTCCCCCCTTTAAACATTAAATGTGAACCATGGTTTGCGACGTTTGCCAATTGTAAGGGGAAAAAAAGAATAGTTGTTTCTTCTGTGAACCTTAATTTTCGACACCGGAGAAATTCTTTGCCATACTACGAAATAATATAATACTACTATAGAGTTTTAAGTAAAGATGGATGAAATCCTTGTAAATCTGTCTTCAAGGTAAAAGATATTATTCCTATAAGATTCTTATTTTAGAAAATACAATTTTTTTAAATGTATCATTTTATGCATGTCTCTGGTAGTAAATGCAGTATCTATTGATTTTTTTTTTGGCCTCAATCTATTGATTTTTTCTATTGTAACCTTATTTATAATCTCAACAGAGTGTTTACGGATACAGTATGGTTACTTTTTGGTAATTATAAATCAGTGAAAAAATTTGGATTAATTTATTTATATCCATTACGTCAAGTTTTTCAATAACACATGAATATGTTTTTTTTTAAATTTTATGTGAGTTTATAATTAAATGCCATTAAATATTACTCCTTCGGTCTTTAATATATGATCCAATTTTTGAGTTGGTTTTGGTCCTAAATACAATACTCATTTCTTATATTTATCAATTTTTTCTAAATTACCTTATGGATACTCCCTCAATCATAATCAAGTAGAAGAGGGAAAGGGGTATTAAGAAAGATGATTATAGTGTTTCAGAAAAAATGTACTACCTCCGGTCCTAATTATAAGACCCAGTTGACTAATTTGAGGAGATCAAGGAAAGAAGTTAAGTTAGTTATTTGTAATAAATAAGTGTTGTCTTTCTTAAAATATCCTTACTAATTAACTATATTAGCTAGAACTATAATTATTAGAAGGACTACCTTGGGAAAAAATGCATAAATATGAGAGACAAAATGGATTGGGGTCTTATATTTAGAACCAAAATAAAAGTCAAACAGGGTCTTATATTAAGGATCGGAGGTAGTATCATTTTTCTTACAATTAACTAACTTACCTAGTTTCCTTAATCTAATCAAATTATTTAAATTGGTCTTATATTAAGGACCTAAAAAGTAATACCTAAAAAATAATATATATACATGTGTTATTGGAGAATTTGATATAATGAATATGATGGCACTTGTAACAAAATAGTGTCATGTTGCTGGTTAAAAAAAAAAAAATACAGTGTCATGTTCCCCCTAATTAGGCGGCGGAAAAAAGGTGCTCCTATTACATAATGTTGGGCTTAATTTGCTGGCCCAAATTGTTGCGCCTTATTGGTGATCTGTTACGAGCATAGTTGGGTTGGATTTGCAAACAGACTGGGACTGGAATAACCCAAACCTGGAACTACCGGATCCAAAAGTGCCTGCAAAGCTTGCGCGAGTCAAAAAAACCAAAATAAAACCCTAGAACTCAGGGCTCTTATAAAGTTATAAACCTGTACGAGGCTCAAAGGACGAACCTGGCGGCAAGGGGGATTAGCTGTAAGTGTCTCAGGTATCTGGTGTCCCTGACTCTACACATTCATCGCACTGTCTCAAATGTTGAATATTTTTTGGATAGCAACCTTGATTGTGATCTTTTCTAAGTTTTAGAGTAATGAGTTTGCACTAGAAAATTTCCTGTTTTTTTATATCGAGCAGTCCAGCCTCAAAGGCATTTCTTTTTGTTTGTTTGTTATAGTGCCATATTGAAGAACCAGGTAAGCGAAAATGGCCGTGCCGTTGCTTTCAAAGAAGATCGTGAAGAAGCGGGTCAAGAAGTTTAAGAGGCCACAGAGCGACCGCAAGATCTCTGTGAAGGTATTTAACCTGACGACGTTTGTATAAACATTTAACATTTAATTTTTTAATGTCCTGGTTGGCTCTCCGATTTGACGATCTACTGCGCTAGGTGTTGGTTGTTATTCTGGTTTCAGTTCGAACGTGTGGGGTTTTGACCGGTTTAATATCTTATTATGAACTAATGGATTTTTCTTCTTTTTTTTGCCTTTTGGGATGTCTGTCGTTTCATCGCACCATGTCAGTTGTTGCAAATTGGTTGTGTTTCGTTTTGTTTAGAATGCATTACAATGAGCCAAACTTCCTCTGCTTCAATTACCGAGTTACATGCTTTACAATCAGTTGCATATGGAGAAGGAGGACCCATTTGAGCCCAGATAGGATATGATGATAATTTTTGTCGCCCCAGTCTTAATTTGCATCATTTGATGCAAGATGGTGACTGACATTGTATCTGATCCCAGCATCTTGTAGTTCAGACGATGAGAAGGTCGTTTTTTCTTTCACATGGATAAATAAGGAATGTGCTCATCTGTAATTTTCTACGTCCTTTCGTGAAGCGATCTATGCTCTTTAATCTATTTACAAGCTTCTAACTATACTTCACTACGGCTGAGAGATGATGATGTTTATCCATCAATTCTGCAATAGAATGATGATTTTTTGACATGCACTACCATCTGATCTCTGTTGTATATTTTGATAGCTTTATATGTGTTAGCTTCATGCAATAGAATGATGATGTAAACTCTTTAATTATTACGACGGTTATTTGATTACCTTGCAAAACATCACCATCTTTCTGCCGAAGTTGGGTGTTAGGGTTTCTGCTTGACTTGTGCCTTTGATAAATGTTAGTTGAAGTTATAGTTATTGTGTATCTGATTGCTTTTATGTATCCCTGGTTGGCTTTTCTAATCTTTTCTGCAGTGAATCATGAGAACTTTGTATTGTATATCTTGTTTATATTTTTTCTTCTGATGTGGTGTGTGTGTAATCATGTGTTGAATACTTTAATGTATATTTGCCCGTGGTATCTGATGTCCAGAATCTGTTTCTGTAGCTGGACATTTCGTTTGAAGGGCATATAGAAATATCATACAGGTCTTGCGACACAGTTGGCTTGCTTTTCATATAGGCCTTCTGTTACTATCTCCCTGTTGACATTTTAAATCAATTCATACTCTGTTTTGTGCATCTTCCATCTGGAAAAGCAGTTTCTTTCTATCCAAATTGCTTTGCTGCACTTACTAATAGTTTGAATTTAGGAAAGCATGTACAAATGGCTTTAGGAAAGCCTTTTGCCAATATTCTAAGTTCTGACTTAACTTCGTAATTGATTGTCTTTGTGGTAATTGTATTCTTGTATGTTCACTGCAGGAAAACTGGCGCCGGCCCAAGGGTATAGATTCCCGTGTCAGGAGGAAGTTCAAGGGATGTACTTTAATGCCAAATATTGGCTATGGCTCAGACAAGAAGACTAGACACTATCTCCCAAATGGTTTCAAGAAATTTGTTGTGAACAATGTCAAAGAGCTTGAACTTCTCATGATGCATAACAGGTGAACTGATTCATCTTGACTTTATTGATCCTGAGCCCACTGTATTGATGGCCATCAGAACGTGCACTGATGCCCCTATTTTCTGTTATTTCAGGACATACTGTGCTGAGATTGCTCACAATATTTCCACGAGGAAGAGAAAGGAGATAGTCGAGAGAGCTGCCCAGCTTGATGTTGTTGTTACTAACAAGACAGCCAGACTACGCAGCCAGGAGGATGAGTAATCTGGATGACTTTCAAAGTCACTTGTGTTTTGTAGCCGAGTTTTTTTTGTTGACTTCATTGTCGTGGTGATAGATTTTTGGTCAAAATTTAGTTTTGCTAATATTTGTAGCATGTTTTTCATTATGAAATTCGGCTCGTTCAATGGCCGTTTTAACTTTAATATTTTTCATCTATTGATCTGGATCCCTAGTTTTCCAACTTTCCAGTGATCTGTGTTTTTGCACCGCAAATGCTTAATCAATTTTTCTTCTTTCTAATTGAACTGAAGCTTTTTCCTGCGTGAAATTGTACACTATACAAGTAACGATGAATATGGTGGATGTCGTATCATTGACAACCTCGGATGTCATATCTTTTTCTGTCTACTATTATATAGATGGTTTAGATTTGATATTTTTATAAAATCATTATTATAATCTTGCATAAACAGGAGAGAGGATGGACATCTTTTTTTTTTTCAAAAGAAAAATCTGAGTTATCTATTTTTTGATTCAATGATAAAAACGAGGCTTTGAGAAAAAATGAGGGAAGGATTTTGAGAGGACCTGGATTAGCTTTCCAGTCCTAAAAAGGTTTAAGCTGACATACATCATACATGTGAAACTGAAATGTTTATATACAAGCCTTCGTTTTCAGCTACACTTGTTGCTCAGCACAAGCATTTGAATCCATTATGAGCATTTTATCAATGGGATTGAATTTAACAAGAGGTTAATTATAACATGGCAGATTTAGATTTGAATTCCTAAGCATAATGGTCTCCGATAGATTTATATCTGTCTCGTATCTCGTTTCTTGATAAAATTGCAGTCTTATATTTTTTAAAAAATTAAAAGCCTAGCCCACGGAAACATAAAATACGAACACAAACACTTGTGCTAATTTCTCCCTTTATTGTTTTATTACTGCATCAACAGATTTTGAGTCCGCCTTTTGCAGCGGAATGAATCTCCTAACTCGCAAGATAACTTGGATCAAGTGCGGAAGACATCCTTTCTTATAAAAATGGTAACTTTTTGTCAAAATTGCTTTTTATTGTACCTGGGAAATATTATTCCGTATGTAGAATACGAATCTCTGCAATATGAACACTTGCGTCTCGTAGACGATTCAAGATCACTAAAATTAATACTTTAGCTTCAACCTTTCAATTCTGTAATTTAACAAGAAAAGAATTTTAATCCTGAGAATTTTGGTCTAGTTTAAATACATAACACCATAGCATCATATAAACTTTTTAAGACGAAATGGGACCACAGTGGAAGAGTCCACAAGGGGCAAAGAATATGGCTTGCCTCGAAGAAGGAACAAGTACGAAACTGAACAAGGTATTATACATAGAACAATCTATAAAATATGGGGCAAGAAAGAATCAGGCATATTTGGTCATGCCTTGAAGCTGAAGCACGAACATTCATCTTCTTTACAACCCTGCATTTAGTCTTTTGAACTAGCAGTCTTAGCAAGAAAAGAACCCAAAGTTTCCACCCAATTCTCGTATGTATTTATACATATTTAAGAACCCTTCCTTACACCCTCCTCGATCAGAAGAAACTTTCCTTCATTTCTTTCTAGGTTTCTGAAACCTCCTTCCTCTTTCTGCTTTCCCAATCCCCAGAGTACAGAGATGGCCAACGAGCAAATGAAACCCATTGCCACTCTGCTTCTGGCCCTCAACTTCTGCATGTACGTCGTCGTTTTGGGCATTGGCGGATGGGCCATGAACAGAGCAATAGATCATGGCTTCATTATAGGTACCATTGTCTCTCAGACACTTTCATGTTCCTATGTTAGCATCTTCTTATGTCGTACTGGTGAGAATTGCAGGTCAAGGATTTGCGCTTCCAGCTCATTTTTCACCCATATACTTCCCAATGGGGAACGCAGCCACTGGGTTCTTCGTGACATTTGCTTTGATTGCTGGGGTTGTTGGAGTTGCTTCTGCAATCGCTGGATTCAATCATGTCCGTTCATGGACTCCTGACAGCTTGCCATCTGCTGCCTCTGTTGCTGCCATTGCTTGGACTCTCACACTCCTTGCCATGGGGTAATAATCCATCATTATCCACCTACCATTTCTCTGAATTCCAAAGTTTCTGTCTTTTTTGTATGATCGTTATTATATTTGATCTGACAAGCGAACGATTTGTACAGCTTTGCCTGGAAAGAGATTGAGCTTCATATCAGAAATGCCAACCTGGTAAGACATAAACAGATTGTGACTTTTCATCGTTCACAGTTGTTGTTCGAGCTAAGTTGAGCTTTGGGATGTTTAATTTTGCAGAGAACAATGGAAGCATTCTTGATTATACTGTCAGCCACACAGCTTTTCTACATAGCAGCTATTCATGGGGCGTCCAGGAGATGAAGCGACAGATGTTGAGAGATGAGTCTTACCAGATTGGAGCTTGTGTGATCTCTGTTGTGTTGCGTTATGTTTTGATTTTTATTGTTTTATTTCTGCTGTAATTTTTTATTCTTTTTTTCCCAAGCCTTTCTATTTTGTGTGTAATTTTCGTGATTGGATTTGTATAAATCAATATTACATTACATATTTCTAATTAAAGTAGAGTTTCCCCTCCTCACCTGTATAATTTCTTTTTATATTTCTTCCTTAAAATATCCTTTTCCCCCCATATACTCTCTCTCTCTCCCCCCCACGATATTTTTAACAGTTTGATAAAAAATTGTTAAGCACTGAACAATATGAAGAGACCAGGGAAATTGGGCCCAACAATAAGCTGAGTCCAATAATGGAAAAGCTTTTATGCATTATGGATAAAGCCCAATAGCTGCAGATCAAACTACTAAATTTTAAAGACTCATATACCCCGGTCCAGATTGCTGGTTGTTACGGTGGTGCATCCCTCAGGGACAGTCCATAATTTGAGGAAAAATTAAATTTAAGACAATCGAATGTATAAATATTATAAAATTCAATAAGATGATATGTCCATAAAATAAAAGTTGCATGAATTAACCAGGCGTAGCTAGTATGCTTAAAAATTAAATTGTAAAACAACAAGTCTTATTTCATTAACTAAGGTCAATTACAGAAATCACACTATCTCGTATATCAACAACTAAATTTTTAATAAAATTATTAAGGATTCTATTTTATTTAAATTCTTTCTTGAAAAAAATATCATATTAAAAATCAAACCAGCCTATAATTTTCTCTTTACCGGTAAGTTGCAGGTCAGAGACAGCATATGGAGGACTATTTGGAGGTGGAATGTTCCAGAGAAGATTAAATCTTTCTTTTGGCTCTTTTGTCATGAAAGAACACATACAAAAAAATTGAGAGTGAATAGGGGACTTGGAATGTCAGCAAACTATCCTCTTGGATGTCAACAAGAAGAAGAATCAATGCATCTGGTACGAGACTGTTTCAACACCATTGAAAGGTGGAGGTCAATGGTGGCACCGGATAAATGGAACACCTTCATGTCATTGCAAGGATGTGAATGGGTTAATTGGAACTTGACCCATGAGGTAAGCATGTCTCACACAAAGAAGATTAAATGGCAGATCTATTTTGGCTATATCTGTTGGGATATCTAGACCTCAAGGTGTAGCAAGATCTTTGATGAGGTAGATCCTAATGATCACCGAAATGCCAATCAAAGTTTCTTTCGAGCTTGTATGGACCAAGATACAATATGAAGGTGTGATTTCTACCAACTACACCCTAGCACTATTGATGGACACAAGAATGAATCTACCTCTACAAAGCTGCTAGTAGATGGCTCAGTACTAGTCGATGGTAGAAGTGGTTGCGGCGGAGTCATTAGGGACCAAGATGATAAATGGATTTGTAGTTTCACTTGTCGCCTTATTGTTGTTCCCCACGCTATTGCTAAGCTCATTGGTTACATTCATAGGCTAAATCTTCGCTGGTCAAAGGGATTGAGAAATGTTTACCTTTACACTGACTGTATTGAAGCCCTTTCTCTAGCCACCAGAGGTTGCGAAAGCGACCATCCTTATAGCGATCTTTTTTCCTTTTTTTTTTTAGACTGAAATATTATGCTTATATATATAACAACAAAAGTCACAGCAAGGTTAACCAATACCCTGCTTACAATGTTTAGCATCAGAGTACAACATGCACAAAAAAGGGAATGCGAGATTTAATTCCCAACCTAAAGGGTGCATCCCCTTGTAGCCTGCTTTGGCCAGCCAATTTGCTGCCAAATTACAAGATCCAGGAGCAAAAGTGAGGGACAAGGAATGGTCAGTACTAAACAGCAATCTTAAATCTTCAACTAATCTTGTAGCTTACCATTTACGACAACGGTTCTGGCCTATCACAGCTTTTACTAATGGCCGGCAATCAGATTCAAAACCATGTGTCCCAAGTCTCGGTCTTTTACCTTAAAAGCTGCTTCATGTAGGGCTTGTGCTTCTGCATGGAATGCTGAAGACACCACACAAGGTTTGTAGTGGATATCCACCACTTGCCCATTTGAATTGCGCAGGATGTAACCAGTTCCACCTCTACCATTATCTGCATTGAACGCACCATCAGTATTCATTTTCAGAGATTCAAAATTTGGAGGAGTCCAATGGTTGACAGGAGCAGCTTGATCAATATTTATATTATTGCAATTAAATAGATTCTTAGCATTCCAAAACTCATGTACACTATTAGATGCAGAATTAATGAACCAAACAATATTAGGGGCTTTGAAAGCAAATACTTCATTGCATCTAGTTTTCCATATATACCAGCATAAATAACCAACGAGGGATTGAGCTAATTCATCCTGCTTTAGGTTTTTTAACATTTGGAACAACCAATGCTCAAAAAAAGTCACATTCAAATCATGTACTATTAAAGAGAGGGGAGAAGCAAACCACACTGATAAATCCTAATTTTATATTGATTTTTCATATCTTATTTGGGATTTTTATCAAGTAAATTGGGCTTAATTGCATTTATTATGATTAATTTGGATTAATGGTGATTGGATGAAAATATTGCTAAAAAGAGCAAAAATATCATATTTTTATGATTTAGTTTAACTGATTGATTTTTTTTTTGAAAAACATATGATATTGTATTATCTTAGATTTTGTTATAGAAAATTTGGGAGATATTGCAAGGTTTGAATTTAGGGTTGCATCATCATCGCCTTCTGGAGGAAGAAAAGGACGGAACAGTGGCGGCAAGGCTTGAGAATATACACCTTCGTGTATATATAGATATGTCCGCAGGGAGAGAAGAACACGCCACACCTATCCACGATTATCATCATCTCATGGATTCCACCCCCCATTCACAACACACATGCTACCTCCACTCACCATCACCCACAATCATCGTCATCCTAATTCACCTACCCCAACCCATATACGCACACGTGATCACCTTCCCCTGTCCTCATCGTCTTCAACGTGGAAAGAGGAGCTGGAAGCAGAGACGCTGAGACGGAGACAGAATTGAGATAGTGAGTTGCCGAGCTTAAGCATCGTCGATCTCCACTCCTTCCTATCACCGTGAATTACATATAATCATCCCCATCGATCACCTTCATCATCAACGCCACCCTCCTCTGCATTCATCCATGGCTGCCGTGAGCATGAAATCTGTGCTAACAGTCTTCAACATCATGCGTGGCTAATTTCATCAAGCTTCTTGAAGATGGAGGATTGGGTTTGAGCTTCAGAGTTAATTAAGGGAGTGCTTCTGTTTTAATTCTTTTAATTTAATTGAGTAATGGATTTTCTGAGTTAGAATTGATATTATTTAATTAAATTTTCTGAGATTACTAGTTGTAATTCTTAGTTTAGAATTGAATTTTTGTGATTGGGATTGGATTTTGCAATTTGAGATTTACATTTATATCCAGTTTGGAGTTCTATATGATTATGTTATTCTTTCATAGTTTGGATGAATGTTATAATTATATAGTACTTATTAAATATCTCAAGTTGAGTGTTCTTTACATTAAAAACCGAATTGCATTGATCTAATCCTAATTGCACACTAATCAGTTTTCAATGGTAATTTTAATTGATGGTTGTAGCTAGAGTTTTTAGGACATCTATTAATTAAGATTACTTGACTTAATCAGTGATTAAGGTTTTGATTTTAAATTAGTGAACAAAAGAACTCCCAGCTCATTTTGAGTAAGGATAACCCAATTTTCATTTTCTAAGAAGCATTATCTCATACCTCCTTAAAATCCAAAATTTTCATTTGCTACTTTTTAATTAATTTTCTTTGAATTTCAATTTCAAATTATCTTTTCAATTTTTTAATAAAAATAAAAAAAGAATTTTTTCAATTTATTTTGCAAAGTAGTTTTTAAATTTAAAAAAAAAACCTTTTTAATCACAATTTTGATTTTTAGTTAATTTAGGACCTAGTTAATTTCTGGCTCCAATAAGAGAATAACTTTGGTTTGCATCACCTGCTGCATTCTAAATATAATTTGACCTAAGGCAACATTGAGGATCAAATTTGGCACCGTTGCTGGGGAGCCATAGGCTTCTTCGTTAGCTCTATTCCCAATCACAAAGGAGCAAACAATGTTCTATAGTTTCTGGATAAGAATCACAATGGGCACAAAATGGTGTCACCCCACAATGCCTTTTCTAAAGTGCTGCTTTAGTTGGGAGAGCTTTGGAGTAAGCTCTCCAAAGAAAATGTTTCACTTTTGGTTGCACCTTTAGGGACCATATCATTTGCCAAAAATCCTTGTCAAGAAGTTGTGAGGTGCCAGGCCCCATTCCCAATTTCTGCAGCTCTAATTGTTGCAGGCAATGATACTCTTAACAGAATATTTGCCACTTGCATTTCTAAACCAAATCAGATTATCCCACATACAAAAATGAGGTAAGTCAATAGCAGAAATAGAATCTTTAACCTGTTTAGGAAGAATAAGGGTATCCAAGCACCATTTACCATCCACAATAAGGTTAGAAACAGTTAAATTTTTCAAATCATCAGGCACATTTGTGATAGGTAGACAAAAATCTATCAAGGAAGGAACCCAAGGATCTTCCCACACATTAATAAACTCATCGTCACTAACCTGCCACATGACATTATCTTTTAACACATTCCTCCCTTCAAGAAGATTGTTCCAAGCCCAAGAGGCCCTGCACCCTTTCCTAGCCTTCCAAAAAGAGGAGTTGGGGAAGTAAATGCCTTTAAGGATCCGTATCCAGAATTCATTTGGTTTTGTCATGATTCGCCAACATTGTTTACCCAAAAGAGCTAGATTAAAGGCTTGAAAGTATTTAAAACCCATTCCCCCATCTTTCTTCTGTTTAACTAAATGTTTCCAGGCTCTCCAATGAATTTTTCTCCTAGAGTCATCCCCTCCCCACCAGAATTTTGCAACGATACTGTCCAGCTCTATACAAGTCTGTTTTGGGAATTGAAAGCAAGACATGAAGTAAGTAGGGATGGCATTAGCAATAGATTTGATTAGTGTTTCCCTTCCAGCTTGAGATAGAAAGTTTTTATTCTACCCTAGCACTTTTTTCCTCACCTTATCCCTAACAAAGGCCAAAGCCTCTATTTTGGATCTACCCCAAAGAATAGGGAGACCTAGGTAACGACCAGGG